TGACTTATTAACCAGAGTGAACCAAACCGATTCAATCTGCTTCAGCAAAAGTGACTGGAGCCTAAATTCCTTCTCGCCTGCGGCTATGGGAGAGCCTCATGTGTCTGTCCGTATAAGGCTGTCACACCCCTGAGTGACACACTGTTACGGATAAAAGTGCTAGTGTAGACATAGCCTTCCTCTCCAGAAAATGAGAGACTCTCCTACTTAGTGACCTGTGGTGCTATATTTACAAAGCTTGACCTCAAAAGTTAGAATGGGGGAAAACATCTTTACATAGAAAAGTAGCCTTTAACGCAAAGGTTTCATCAAATTTTAAATGTGTTGAGTGACTTACAGTAAGTTTAAGCCTTAACATGTTTTGTGTGAAAATCAGGTTTCATTTTAATCAGCTTTATTTTTAACAAGAAAAACTCGTAAAAGAATTTTAAAAAATCTGATTTAAATTGAAAAAAAATCCAGAAGAGGCCACCTCATCTCAAAAAGGTATATTGGCATTGGAAAAGGTTCCAAAAAGTGCAACAAAAATGAGAGAGAGTTTAGAACGGATCCCATATGAAGAGAGATTAAAAAGACAGGGACTTTTCATCTTAGAAAAGAGGAGACTAAGGGGGGATATGATAGAGGTCTATAAAGTCATGACTGGTGTGGAGAAAGCGAATAAGGAAAAGTTATTGACTTGTTCCTATCACATAAGAACTAGGGCTACGTCTAGACTGGCAAGATTTAGCACAAATACTCTAAATGCAAGAGTTTTTGCATTAGAGTATTTGAGGAAGAGAGCATCTATACTGGCATGTGCCTTTGTGCAAAAGATTTGCTTTTGCGCAAAAGCATCCGTGCCAGTGTAGACGCTCTCTTGCGCAAGAAATTGATGTTACCTGTCTACACTGGCCTCTTGCACAAGAACACTTATTCTTGAGCGGGAGCGTCAGAGTATTTGTGCAAGAACCACTGATTTCATACAGTAGAACGTCAATGTTCTTGTGCAAATACTTGCGGCCAGTGTAGACATGCGGCAAGATTTTGCACAAAAGCAATCGCTTTTGCGCTAAATCTTGCCAATGTAGACACAGCTTGGGGTCACCAAATGAAATCAACGGGTAGAAGGTTTAAAACAAAAGGAAGTTTTTCTTTATGCAGCGTGCAGTCAACCTTTTGAACTCCTTGCCAGAGGATGTTGTGAAGACCAGGACTTTAACAGTGTTCAATAAATTCATGGAGGTTAGGGTCCACCAATGGCTATTAGCCAGGATAGGAAGGAATGGTGTCCCTAGCCTCTGTTGGTCAGAGGCAGGAAATGGATGACTGGAGAGGGATCACTTGATGATTCCCTGTTCTATTCACTCCCCCTGGGGCATCTGGCACTGGCCACTGTTGGAAGACAGGATATTGAGCTAGAAGGACCTTTGCTCTGATCTGTCTACTATGGCTGTTCTTATATTATCTCATTTTGGCTGTTAAGTGTAGGGTGAGGAGGTTGGTGATCTGTAATACAGACGGTCAGAAAAGGTGATCTTTTCTGGCCCTTAAATTCTATGTATTGAGAGACTCAGAGAATAAAAATGTGTTGGGAGCAAAGCTGAAACTGAAGGAGTCTCTTAGTGTTTTAGGTGATTGAATTGTAACAAAGCAAACAGCATACCAGGAGAAAAGCAAATTAGACTTTTACGGTCCTTTGATGACTTAATCTGCAATGTTAACACTGACTTTTAAAGTGAATTTTATGTTGATTTGCCCCTTTAAAGAACAAACAAAGAAAAGGAGGTAATTAAAAGAAAACTTCCTTATTGCTTGGTGAAATTAGAGAACATTAACAAGCTCTCAACTGGAGTGGAGTGAATGCGAAGGAAAATCAGAACATAAGAACCTAAGACAAACCTGCTCAGGCATTGGCTCAATATTTTTTCCCTGGGAGAGATTTCTGTTCTAAATTTAGATCCTATTCTAAGCTGTTTCTGTGCTCCAGACAAGTGGTTCTTGAACCTTTTCTTCTCAGAATAAGACTCTAAAGTCATGTGTTTCTTGTTACAACCCACCAAAGGGCTGTAAAAGATTGTAGTAACTGCAAGAAATTGCACTGGACTGTGGTGGAATTGGACATCTCCTTTTTGTGTTCCACCTTCTATAGCACTTAGCAATGCAGGCATCATCAGTTCCAGAGATTGTGGGAGCAAGCTGTGTACTCCCTTAGAAGTACTCCTCCTCTAGTGGGGGTGGGGGGGGGGACTTGTATGTGTAGCATGTGGAAGTGAACTCTGGATACTGCCTATTCCTGGGGGAATTCTGCATCAAAAAGTTAAATTCTGAATGAAGAATTTTAAATTTCTGCATAGTTTGTCACAATAATATAATCATGCCAATTTCAGTTATTTTGGAAATTTATTTCAAAATACCTGTCAGCAAGTATGTCTGCAAACACAGACAACGGAAGATGTTTCAGGAAATATCTTTGTCAGATTTCTTACTAGTCTGGGGTCATCAGTTAACTTAATTTCAGTGGGTTACACGTTTACAAAAAACCCTGCATTTTAACTTCTGAGGACCTTTGGAGGAAAGTAGGTTCCTTATATTGTACTGCTGCAGGTAGAGAGATATCATAAAGACCTAAAAGACAAAGCTACAAGTAGTCCCCTGGCATCTTAGAAACTAACAAATATATAGAATCTTGAGCTCTCACAGGTAAGACTGGCTTCATCAGATGAGTTGGAGTGGAAATAACAGAAGCCAAGATATATAAAACAGCAAAAGAAGTACCTGTCAATTGTAGGACCCATGTAAGAGGCTAATGAAGTGGGCTGGAAGTGGCCCATTCATAGCTTTTGATGTGAAAATGCAAATGTCAATGGCAGGCGACATTAAAATCAAACACAAATAACATATTTGGGTCTGACTCCCTAGCTTTTCTCAGGTAGGTGGTCACAACTTTGGAATTGCAGCTATTTAGAACTCCCTGTTCTTCTCTGACTCTTAATAGGACAGTATATGTGCCTAGGATTATTAATTGTAACTATAGAATCAGCTTTCTTATACATACTTGGCTATGCTATATACCAAATATGGAGACATAATTACTTACATTATCATTTTGACAAGTCACATTTGAATTTACAGCTTAGTTAAGTGAGAGAATTTCTCCCCTCCCATCCTCAAGCCTGCTGCATGTTCTGGTTGCATTCAGTATTTATAGAATGCTGTTTCTCTGCATAATCAAGTTGTTTCTGGTTTTATTTTCCATCCCTTATTGAGTCTCACACCAAAAAAGTCTTTTAAAATTGTACACTCAGTACTAGCACTGATTTGGATTCCATCCCCACATCCCATTATATTTTTGTGGCAGTATGCCTTTGGATAAAACCGCATAGGTTGCTAATTGACATCCTTCCAACTGCTTATGTTACCTGAGTTAAGTTATAATGTAGACAGTTCTTTAGAGACTATGCCCCCTGTCTTCTATAGTTTGTGATCTATAATTTCTAATTCATACCACATATGCTCTTGACAGATAAGGTCTGTCACGGGATCATGTAAAATATGAGTCTGAATAGTCAAGATGACTTAATAGCAAGCTTAAAAATACTTTTTCATTTATTTGTTTTGTTACTTTAAGATAGTGTTAGGTTGATAATTTAAATGCACAAGAGTCAAGAAATTAAAAAGTTAAGGTTCACTTGGAAATATTGCATGTTATAGTAACAACTGTCAAAATTACTAATGTGTAGTGTAGGAACTTTAACTTCTGAATTTACTAAGCTTCTACTTCCATTTTCAACCTTTACATGCTACCTTGTTTCAAAATTTATTTCTGTGTATAACTTTTTACATTTAATCATCAAAAAAGTTTCCTGTTTTTTTGACCCTTTGTCAGTTAGCTGAATAGTGTATAAATCTTTTAGTTCCTTGAGATGCGTAATACAGCCACTAAAACCATGTGTACGAGCTATCAAATGTGGCATTTGCCTTTCAGTTTCACTGAAATGTCTTGGAATTGCTTGAAGACCTTGTGCATGCAGATGACTTATAAACAAATTTTTAAAAAGAGGGATTGTGTGCAGCTTTGTTCACATTTTCATTTACCTTCTTGGTGTAGGAGAAAACGACTCTTGTATGAAGAAAGAAAGAACAGTATGATGGATTCAGAAGATCTAGTCATAACAAGTTCAAAGCAAGATATTGCTCATCACATTGTAACATTTAGCTCGGGTAAACATTACTTTTGTGGATATTGTGCAGCATTCACCAATATAGCAATCACCTTTCCCATCCAGAAAGTCCTCTTTCGACAACAACTGTATGGAGTGAGAATAAGGGAGGCAGTATGTCAGCTAAAGAAAGATGGAATCCGAAATCTGTACCGTGGACTCTTCCCTCCACTAATGCAGAAAACTACAACTCTTGCCTTGATGTTTGGCTTGTATGAGGATTTCTCCTTCCTGCTCCAGAGGCACACAAATGCATCAGAACTTGTGACTTGCAGTGTGGCAGCAGTGCTTGCAGGAACCACAGAAGCGCTTCTTACACCTTTTGAGCGGGTCCAGACTTTGCTTCAGGACCACAAACATCATGACAGATTTACAAACACTTACCAGGCTTTCAAGATGCTAAAAGACTATGGAATGAAAGAATATTATCGGGGTTTGATACCTATTCTGCTCCGAAATGGACCGAGTAATGCACTCTTTTTTGGTCTGCGAGGACCAATCAAGCAGTGCCTGCCCGAAGCAACTTCTTACAGTGCTCACTTGGTCAATGACTTTATCTGTGGAGGGCTGTTGGGTGCCATGTTGGGATTCTTATTTTTCCCAATGAATGTTGTAAAAGCCCGCATGCAGTCCCAAATTGGAGGGGAATTTCAGTCTTTTCCAAAAGTGTTCATGAAGATTTGGGTGGAACGGGATAGAAAACTGACACATCTTTTCAGAGGAGCCCATCTGAATTACCACCGCTCTATTTTATCCTGGGGCATAATCAATGCAACATATGAATTCTTGCTTAAGTTCTTATGAAAAATGTTCTCTTCTGTGAAGTCCCTCCGCTCAGTTGGGTATTGGCACGTTGAAGTCACTTATTTCCTCGGAGCAAATTTGTCATAATCAAATCTGTTCATGAAGAACAATTCCATTTGGAAAGTTTAATTGCAAAAGGGTGGTTACATTTCAGGAGGGAAATAAGTGATTTTTACCACTGGTTTTGTTTAGTCTGCTTGGTAATTACTCAGTCATATTAATACTCTTCAGTCTTTATGGGGTGAATGTTGGCAATGTGGCTGGATCTTAATTTAAGAAAAATGGGTTTGCTGGAACACAGGCACATTCTTTATTAAAGTATTTAGGTGCTGGAAGGTGAAATCACCCATACCTGAATAAACTAATTGAAACTTTACTTTCCATATGAATGTTGGCCTTGGCCTAGAAACTTACTCCAGGTCATCCTTAGGGATGTATGAGTGTAAATGACTTACCGATTTAAACCATAAGTGGATGCTTGCCGGTTAGTGGTGTCTGTTAAACTCAGCAAAGCCGCCTGCCTGGGAGCCAGGTGGATAAGGGGTGCCTGCTCCTGGGGAGGTGGCTTTGCTGCGGCAGCAAAGCCTCCTTCCCGAGAGGAGAGCTGGGTTGGCGGCCTGTTCCCAGGGAGGCTTCACTGTGGGCTCTGCAGTATAAAGCTAAGCCTTATGCCATAGAGCCCGCAGTGTGGGTAACGGTGGCACTGCTGAGATTTTCAGCAGTGACACGGTTACTCTGTTACACAATTTTTAACATCCCTCATCAAACGTTCCTAACACTCCTGGTGACCAGAATTCTGCTTGATTGTGCACTTTGTGAAATACCCAAGTAAGGGAGCCTGACAAAAGCGGTTTAGTTTCCCTGCTTTGATACACTTGGAGGGACTGATGCAGTTGTTAGACACATACTCTGAACTCCTATAACGTTTCAAGTTTCCTAGGCATCATTACTGTTTGAAACCAGACTGCCAGCTTTTACTGGGGATGATGTTATTTTTCAACTAAGCCTTAAGATTCAACAAAGCCTACATCAATGATTTTTCCCAGCTGGCTTTTGCTTTCTAATATGAGTGCCATTTTGTGAAGCAACATAAGGTAACTACTACAGTTACATCTGCAATGCACTTCTGTTGGTCAAGTGGGTGAAACATCCCTGACCAAGAAAAGTTTTGCTGACAAAAAGCACGGGACTGTCTCCCACCGACAAAACTACTGCCATTTGTTAGTGGTGGTTTTATTTTGCCAGGAAAGCTCTCTGCTGGCGGTAGAGTGGCACAGCAGTTTTGCTGTAAGGTATGCAGTGAAGATGTAGCTTAAATTTTCAACTTCAGCATAAGCTGATCTAGTGCAAAGTAGAAGTAGGTGAAAAAGGACTAGTGGGGGGGGGGGTGAGGAATTAAAGAAATTCTATTTTAAAAAGCTTTAAAGTGTCCTTGATGTTACAATATCACCTATTTGTGACTGTGGATTATTTTATTTTGTCTCTGGTGCTGCTTGGTTTCTGTTACAAACAGGCATGGTGCCACAAAGAAGACGCAGTTCCGCAAATATTGACACATACGGCAGTAGCAGGAAAACAGATAGGAGTCCAATACTCTGTAGACAGCTTTTGTTGTATTAAGGTAACTTGTGTCCTTTTGCAATGATTTGTACTTTCTTCATGAGAGGTCATAGCGTAACTGAACAGTCTTAGTCAGTGTTTTTAGTGATATGCTCTACCCTCCATTGTACAGGCTATATCACTGTAGTGGAAAAGGCACTCCAATACTATGGCAAGAAGGGCCATAGAAACGCCAGGTATGGGGGTTTCTCCGTGATCATTTAATCATGTTAATAAACACTCACATAAATATTAAAAGTAATGTTGTCCTTGGTATTCAGGTGGACGTGCTTTCAAGCCTCGAAGAAGGAACGAGAGCAGGAACACAAGTATCATTACCAAACTAGTGGTCTTTGTATCAAAAGTGATTTTTTTTATATTTCTATGCAAAATGGGTTGAGTATTTTCATACTTGGTGGTATGCAGGAAAGCATTCAGAAATTGTTTTGGATGGATTGTTTCTTTACACTTTAGCGCAAATATTTACTTTATGCATCATTAAGCTTTTGAATGCTTATGGTTTTTACTTTACCTCATTTTGATTTTTCACTTGACATAACTGCACCTGAATAATTACTCCCAAACAATATATCCTATTTCTTTATAATCTATAGCTATATGCTACTAAGCTTCACAGTCAAAGATGGCCAAACACAAATAAAGCACATTGATTCTTTGAATGTTGTGATTAGATAGATTTAAATATACTGTCTGTTGAATGTTTATTGGTGGAATCTGATTTTACCAGTGTGTTATTTTTGTAACCTTTCCTTGATGGAATAAAACAAAAGTAAATCTGTTTCCCTAGCCTTAATTTTTTGTAGCACATACTTCATACTTGTATTTTTAGTCTGTAGTCCCCAGGGGCAGGGCCAGCAGCCACTGCACTCCAACCCCACTCCCAAGGAGCCTCCTGCCAGTCCATGCTAAGTGGGCTGCCAGGCAGGGGCTGGTCCATGAGAGAAGCCAGTTCAAAAACCAGCTCCCCTCGCAGACTGGCTGGCCGTCTGTCTTTCTTCTCTTTGCGCTGG